ATTTCGAATTGTCTGATCTGTTGTCCATTATAAACGATAAATGTATTATTTGAGCATGTGTCATTATGGTTTGGCACTTGAGGTCTTGTATAAGGTTTCTCAATGTAGCTTTTCCATATGCCTTTAAGTGCTGGCTGCTTTTCTTTTACCATGAAGTGTTGTTTTATTTGTCCATACATCATAAATATTTTGGATAAATAAGTTAACTTGGAAAAGAAAAGTGCTTGTTATACACACTATTATGCCTCCATATCTGATTCTGGCTGATGATTTAATTTTGCGCTATGCTTCCTTAAAAAGGAATACTAAAATTGAAAAATATTGGATAAAGTCCAAAGTAGAGAAATCCTTTATTTTATAGAAATTAAGCATTAGCGTATTTCACATTTCCACTGATTAAGATCCTGTTTTAATTATCGGCTATGGTCCTTACTCGTATCTAGAGACTACAAGGTAGATTCTTATAATTATGCCATATCAATGCAGCTGGCATAGTAGCACTTTTGTTGACCAATGAAGATTATACTTAAAGCACATTTCAATCCAGTAGATTGCACTCTTGAGATAAAGATCAATTTTTCAGTAGTCATACCATACCTTACACTAGCAAGTTCTTTAGTAAATGATCTGCAGAGTAGAATGTTTCTTCTTGTCAGCATCCTGATGAACTCATCAGACCCATCTTGATCAATGTGTAGTCTTAGCATGCATGGTTATGGGTCTGATTACTCTGCATTTGCTATTGGTCTTCTGCCGGACATTTTCCATCCTTTTTGTTTACAAAATCTCATGTTTTGAAATCATCTTTCCTTCTTTCTGTAATATTACCTCATGAACCCTCTTTACTCCAATTCAATTCCTATCCTCAAGTGAAGTTTTTGGATTCCTTTGATTGCCATGTGCAGAGGAAGCATAGCCTGTTGAGTGCTTTTTCTTCCAAGTTAATAATGTGTCTGCCATACTGATATTGGTGTATTATTCTTTAGGTTATTGACCTCTATAATACAAGGTTCATTTTTATCTGGTTTCCATGAGTTCTAATGCCAATAAGTCACATCTTATTAGCTTTAGTACAGTTAACTCTTATCATTGTCTTATAATGAAGTTATGAGGGACAAACGGTTGAAGTTTAAATTTGATCTGGTCTTAGAAGATGTAATACTCTCGATACTTGCATAGGAGGCATATAAGTTAAGTATCCATGTTCAAATAATAAACCTTTGCCCGACAAGCTACAGTCAACTGAAGGGCTAAAGATGGTTGCCTTCTTTGACTTTTGACGGTGGCATAATCAGAGCTAGGATATGGCTTGGATGGTTGCTTAGGCTTCTATTCTGTTAGCTCTGAATTATACCCTAAAGATACATTATCTATTATCTGTTGTGGCTAGGATATACTTCATCACTTACATTGCATTGCTTTGCAATTTGTTTCAGAACATTAACTGTGGGTGAAATACACACATTTCCTCAACTGCATGTGTTGCAGGATCGTTTTTATCAGATGCACCATCAATCATGCACTATTATCATTCTGACTGGAAAAAAATGATAATTTGACTCGTTTGGTTTTATCTTTGAAGGTGACAAGTGTGAGTTATCACCCAAAAGACGACTGCATGATAACCTCTTCTGTTGATGGCACGGTTCGAGTGTGGAAGACATAAGCTCATCAAACAAGGGAGCTTCCCTACTAGTTGGTTTATTACAGTGTTGAAAGGATTTCAAAGGTCCAGTACGAGTCATCCTCACACATGTAGGTTGGACATTGGTGACCAGTGGTGGAACCCAATATTCTCAGCAAAATTACGATATATAATGGTAAAACGATGTAGTAGCCTTCTGTTGGTACCCCTATTGTTTCCTAGTGACAGCAGCCATCAAGGCACTTGTACCATGTCACTGCTCTTCAACAGTCCTCAGGTTTTGTTTTTTCTTTCTGAATGTCATGAATGTGAAATTGTCTTTTGAACTACTGATAATAGAAATTTCCATTTCAGTCCTGACTGGCTTTTTTCAACCAGTCCGTTCTTTGAAAAAATACGTCCTCTACACTGATAGAATCTAAGATCTGCAGATGTTTAGCAGAGTGCAGAAAGCCCAACCCAAGGAATGAAGAAAAATGAGCCTATACGGCTATAGTCAGTGTAAAGCGTCGTTTTTAGTTGATGTTGAAAAAGGCCAGCTTACCCATAACTTTTTGTTTGAGTGCTTTTTATTATTTTTGTCCTTGAAAGGAAATTCAGAGATGCCTTTAATAATTAGTCCTTCTCATTGGGCTCCATTTCAGTTCCCGTTAAGTCCTTCCCTCGCTTTTAAACTTTAACTCATATGTTCTGCCGACAGCTAGCCCTATCGTCAGCAGCCCGATTGATGTACGGAAGAAGCTGGCCCTCGTAATACTGATAAAAGTGTGATGAAAATGACTCGTTTATATATAAATTTTATATATTATATTTATAGAAAATTTTAATTATTTTTTTATTTATAATAATTAAATTTTATTTAATATAATTATAATTTTTATTTAAAATTTTATAATAAATTTTAATTATTTAAAATAAAATAATAAATATTAAAATTTTATATACCTATAATGCTTAAAATTTATATTTAAATAATCTCAATAATAATAGAAGAACCAAATTACAGTTTATATTGTATAATTTGTATTTTATTTAACTATTTATAAAAGGAATAAACCCTTGATGTAGAGAATTTGCCCTTCTATGAACTGCTCTACAACATTCTCTAATAATAAATGTGAAACTCGTGGGTATTATGGAAGAATCCATTTTATCATTTCCTGATTAGTTATGCGTTCATCAAAATTGGAAAGGGCTTAATAGTTTATTGGACGGGTCCAATGAGTTCTACTCCAATATATAACTTCGAAGAATTGGAAATATCTTAAGATGAGAATTAATCTATGGCTTGCAATATGGTCCTAATCTTTCCCTCCACCCTACAAAGAATTTGAAATCTCTATAAGATAGTGTTTGAATCATCCATTTCCATGCCCTAGCAGTCCTTGGTGGTCTACCGTCTAGTAAAGTGCATCAAACACCTTGATGTATGTCAAAGTTGAAGTCTCTATTAAAAAAATTGTAATATTTCCTCTTCTTTTAATTTTTTCAAAATTTTTCTTTGTTAAAAAAAAAAAGAAAAAATACCCATTTCCACGAAACTTATTTCTAGAGAAGACAAACTACAAAACAAACTGGCTGCATCCAAGACATTAAAATTACTGGAACATTATTATTGTTATTATTTTGTATACATTGTTAGGGTGTCTTTAAATTAATTTATGTATATCTCAAAATTAATTCATTCTTAAGCAATTTTAAGGATGCATCCCCAAAGTCTGCCTAATACATTAAAAAAAAAATAGATTCCCCACGTATTAACCCTAAAACATGAACTCTGAACTTAATTTATAAAATAACATTTATTTACCAAAAGATCAAACCATTGGGGTTCTTGGAACATTATGTTAATTTGTGTTGCTGTGTTTGTAACCGGTTATTGTGGGCATTTTACTCAATAATTAGTCATATTGTCTTCATAATTTGCTACCAAGTCAGGAAGGAAATCTTCTGGGATTTTTTTTTTCATTTGAAAATAATTTCCTAGTGTTATATGCGGTATTGGGTATTATATCCGGTTATCAAAGGATATTATCTCCTCTACTTTCAGGGCACGCATTTTTTTTTTTTTTAAACTAAGTCTCACAAAATTAGCTAAAACAACTTGGCTTTCTTAAAATAATTTTTGAAAAAAAGGATTGATGCAGCCACAACCATAGTGGTAAATGTATTCCTAATTCCTAAATGTGACCTGAAACGAATCTCATTTCTTCTGTCTAAATTAAAGAATTTAAATTTTTTATATTAGGAGTTTTTAGGCTCTCATGTACTTTAAAAAAAAAAACCAAATTATCATAATTTGAATTTTTTATACCCTAATACCAAACTCATATTCATTACTGCAAGCATTACCCACACTTTTTGAATATTTTATAATTTGCTAGCCATTAATATAATTTATACATCAAATATTTATTTTGTGCTTACTGTATCAATTGCTTATTTGGTATATTTGATATGC